GAGTGTAAATGTAACACAAGGTTAAAAAGTTAATGTTACAAAAATGCGAATTGTAACAAAACGATTATATTGCCTGTCAACACTTCTGTGAACATTATTGGAAGAGTGGCGTCTATAAAGAACAGTCCATATGCACTTATCTTTCTAAAACATTGATTTTCTTGTAGCACCATTTGTAATAGATGTTTCTGACTTTCTGTAAATAGAAAAAAAAATAATGAGACAATATAGTATCGCGTCGTTGTTCGACGGTAAAGGTGCCTGCTTCACAAGTTTGTAGGGCCTTTAAACCCTAAAAATTATAATTATTAGAGTAATTTCACTACACAACATTTTACTACAAACGAATAAAGAATACATTTAGGAAAATTATGAACTAATTTATCATCATACGGGCCACTGCTGAGCAAAGCCTCTTCTCACATGGGGAAGATTTCAGCATTAACTCGTCGAGTACCGTCATTATAGACACAATTATAGAACAATAGGTTGCGGTCTCCGGTGACCGCTTGGTGTTTGACAGTTTAATCACCACATTATTTTGCTCATTACGGGTTGGCAATTTCAAACTCATAATTAGAAATTATAAGCCCAGGTTTCCTCACGATGTTTTCCTTCACTGTTTGTCAGTGGTGACTAAATAGTCTTAGAATGTACATGTAACTCGAAAAAAATCACATTAGTACTTGCTGTTTATGTATTTCGTACCCGCACTCTTATGCAGGAGAAGTGGGCGTCTTAAACTCCGGGCCACTAAGATGTAAAATATTCATCGAATTAAAAAATAGACTCAATTCAATTTTTCAATAAAACGCCACTTACTTGAATATTTCGGATTTTTCAATAGCTGTAAACATGCGTCTTCTGTTTTTTCTACCATCATATAGAATTTCTCACTTTGTATGCAATTTATCGTCAAATAAATCAAATTTTTGACCGTATATCCGAGGACTATAAAGAACAAGAAACCTACCTAAAAATATCCCATAGTTTTTGTTAATACTATTTAAAAAGGTGTCGTGGCGTGTTCTGAAAATAATCTTGATAAAGAACTGACTGACAGGTTTTTATTTTATTTTTTATTATATCCTGGTATTATTGATTAAAATTGACTCTAAAAAGTTCTTGACCTCCCCATTAGAGATGATGACGGGGTATGAAAATTAAAATCTATTTAGTCCGTCAGTTAGGTAATGAAAAAATATCAGACACATATTTTTCTATTTCGTCGTGTAATAACATAATACTTAGATAAAACGAATTAAAGTTTAGGAGTGGGGGCTAAATCATCATTTCTACGTATAAAATGTACAAAGAAGTGACGTCACGCGATATTTCAAATCAATATTATCGTCGAAAGTATTCGTATCTGTAAGACATAACATAACATTACGTCTTTTATCCCCGAAGGGGTAGGCAGAGGTGCACATTATGCCACTGTACAATATAACACCCACTTTTCGTTATGAGTCCCATGTAATAGGGGTGAGCCTATTACCATATATCGGGCACAATTTCAGACTCTGTGCTACTACTGAGATTTTTTAAAACCCGGTAATACTTTGCCCGATCCGGGAACCGAACCCGAGACCTCTTGCCCGGCAGTCGCACTTGCGACCACTTGGCCAACGAGGCAGTCTGTAAGAAAATAAAAAATACGTGTAATGTTTTAAAATAATGTATCAGACGAACATTAAAACAAAAATTAGTCATCTACCCTACTGCATTACGAAGTATGTAGACGAAAAAGACTTTCTCTTTATTTTATTAATTTAAGTATATTTACCGTTGGTTCCTCCAAATGTGGCTTTAACTTGACTGTATTTATCGATACTTAGATATAAAATAAAACCCGGAAAAATGTATCAATCGTGTAATGTAGAAGCTGCAAAAGAAACGAAAGTAACAGGAACAGTTTTAGTCCAGCAACTTGCTTGTAAGATAACACAGAAGTTAAGCTTACCACTTGACGAAACGACTTTTTGTATATCTACAAATCATAGGCTTTTAAAATTTTTTTATACGACGAACATAATTTTTTGTAAAACTTGTCACCGTCATTATGGGGAATAAAAATATTTTTGGACGACTCTTCAAGATATTTTGTCAGCAATGTCAAAATGCAAATACTATGTATCAAATTCAGATCAAAAGACATATGTAATATTACTGAAGATATTCTTGGTGGTGGGTTCTCAGGGCGTGAAATAAAGTTCGACACACGAATGACTGTAAATTGTATATTGGAATAAACTAAATAACTGTATAAACAAAGTTGCACAATAATCCAATATAGCTAAAACTCAAATATTCGCGGCACAAATACGGAGCGCGTGCGTCACGGCTCGTTGTTCTTTCGTCCTCGCAAGCGTC